CCAGAATTATAATCACTGTCTGAGTCTACCAGGATTGGCTTAGAGGAAACTCAGATTTTCTCCTCATCTTGGTCAGAGACTTTTCTATGAGATCTTAGTCGCTTTCTTATATTGCAGTCTCAAAAAAAACCAAACCCAAACCAACCAACCAAAAAACCCCAAAACTCCCCACAAAAGCAGAGTACTTACCAAATTATTATATTGCTTTGAGATTCTTGGAAGAATGATGTTAATATTAGCAGGTAAGTAAACTAGGAAATATTTTTAATGAAATCAAAATCTGATATAGGAAAACAATAATAGCAAATAACACTATAACTTAACTGACTGATGAGAAATGTCTTCTAAAACTGTCCAATCTGGACATAAGGCTGATGTTACAAATAGCAATATTTTGCTTTGGCGATTGTCAGTGTGAAATATTGATCACTTTGTATTCCATCTAAATTCTCCATATTTTGACTTTCATTTGACTGGAACAGGAAATGTCTTTGAAATCTTCATTTTTTATTTTTATTTTTGTTTTCCAGAGATTCTGTCTTTTTAATGGCTTTTAAATTTTAATTTTTAATTCTTACTAGGGACAACTTTTCAGAGTGAAAGAGAAACCTGAGAAGACTCTTGAGAATCCAGTTTCACTTTGGGGCTAAAGAGACATCAGACTGTCAGTCCCATGCTTTGCCTATCGAATGTGGGCTGGTATCAATTAGTGTATCCTTTGGTTTAACAAGAAATTATTCTCCTGGTCTCTGTTGGCAGGTAGGGATAGCACAAAAACCATCACTCTCTGAATCCTCCCAACATTTTTTCCTGAACAGAGACCATACAATTTTATTTTATTTTTTTTTTCTTAGCATTTTGTCAAGATTCTATGGATAAAAGGAGAGTTATACTCCTGAAGCCACATTTAATACATCTCTTCTCTTGCACAGTGTGAACTGAAATACATCACTTTCATCACTTTGGCTTCCATCAGCTCACCAAGACAATTTTAATTTTCTCTGAATGGATGCTTCTCAACTCTTTCTTTAAAGGCAACCCAGGTAGCAAGGTCCTGTCTACCAGCTTTCTGGAAAGACAGCATGAGCAGATGCAGCCAGCTGCAATAGTCAGAAACCTTATTTCCAATGTACCTCCAGGAGTACAATCTATTTTTTCCCCTTTTTTTTTTTGAAGACTGTGTGCATATGTGCAGGGATGGGTGAATTTTGTTAGCAGATGGAAGGTCACAGGTGGTTTTGCATCAAAAGATAATTAAATTGCATTGATTAAATTAAATGTCTGACAAATATATGGCCTACTCATCCCACCATGAATGGGGCAGATAAAATTCAGCTCCATACTCTAGCAGCAACTATTTGCTTTTGGAAAGGGAAATTAATCTGGAGCGAACTCACTTGATGCTTCCTGACTCTGAATACTTCATCAAAATTATTCCTCCAACAGCTTGGTATGAGAAGGCAAATCATTCACAATTAGCAGACTTGCCTTTTTTTTCTTTATTTTATTAACATTTGCACCAGTCATAGAGCTGCTGATGCCAGAGAACACCTTTCTCATACCAAACAAAATTGCCTCATACATGCCTGGGAAGATCATGCTGATCAAAAATAATTAAGAAGGAAGGAGAGTTATTAAAGCTGAAGGCAGCTATCTAATTGCAAATACTGAGTAGCATAATCTTTACCAAAATATGAAGGAACACATTGTAACTGTTGCTTCATTCTGTTCCATCTCTGAACTCAATTTACACAAAGGAAAAAACCTAAGTATAATCTAAATAATTTGGGGACAGGGACTTCAGTGTCTGTCACTGGTGTTTGCAGAGAAGACAGTTTGCCATTTACATTTCAGATAATAGGTAATAAAAATTTAATCATTAATAAATACCAGTAAAGGTCTAAAACAGCAAGGTTTTTGAACATCCACACCTCTTCATGGCTTTAAAGTACTGTCTCTGTTTATTTATTTATTTAGAAAAAAACTCAGAGCTCATTTTAAGGAACTGTCAAACTTCTATAGATCATTTTGCATCAGTTAGAGCAGTAAAGTAAAATCAGATTTTTGTAGGACTGGGACCTGTTTGATTAACTGATGTCCAGTGAGACTCTCAAACAAATTAGTATAAAAATTAATGCTTCATTGATGTAACATGGGCCAGCATAAAGGCTTTCCTCAAAAATGACAGAACTATGCTACAACTACTCAAGTATCATCAGTCAACTGATTTGGGTTAGAAACCACTTAAGAAGACATACATTATGGGATATTGTTTTTCTTTCTTTCCTGATGGAAAAAATGAAAGAAGCTTTTCCTCAGAACTTCATTCCTTCATTCTTGCTTGTTCAGTAGAACATCATATTTTAGTATGATGGGTTTAGAATTAAGTTTGATTCCAATATTTTGAAGACTTTGAGAGTTTTCATGTTCTTTAGCACTTTAGCACTTGGCAGACGTAAACATGATGGGGGAAAAAAAAGGTAGATTACAGGAAAGTCACGGAATTATATAGCTATTCAAGGCCTTAATCTGCAGGGCTATGAATTCTGCAGGATTATTTCAGCTATGTTCTCTTACTTGTACCTCAGCAAAGAAAATACATAATTAGGGAGGACATCACGAAATAGATTGTGTGTACTCTGTTGGTGTGTTTAGTTTAAGTGCATGGGTCAAAAAGTGTCTGTCAAATGTTTGCATGCATGGCTAGTGCTTGTCCTGGTGCAGTGAATAGATATTAAACCCTAGCTATAAAGTTTTTTTTTTTCTTATTTCAAACAGTAAGTTTTGCACAAAACCAACATGGGATCCTGGATTTTTTTTTGTGGAGCTTTTTTGTCATCAAGAAAGAGCATTACAATTATTTGCATGAAAGATTTTTTGCGGGGGTAAGCAAGTTAAAAGTAATTTGGGTCTTGTTTTGTGTAAATAATAGCAAATTTGTTTGAAAACAATGTGTAAATTATCAAGTAGTTCTTCCTTGGACACATATATATTGGGGTTTGTGAGCAGACTAGACTTCTCTAGGATAGTCTGGAGATGTGTATAATGTGACCTGTACAACATTTTACTTATAGGTTATTGCAGTCATTCAGAATCCCCTGGAAAGCACTTACTTAGGAGCAGAAGGCTTCCATGTTTCACTGGAAGAGAATATGACATTTCCCATTCTGTAGCTGGAAAATTTCCTTCTCTTTTCCCAGGAAAACAAAGACACTCTTCAGAATAATCTCCCACTTGGAATAGCCACAAACACTGAAAGCTATCTCATGCCACACAAAGCTACTCAAAGCTAATTTTTTATTAAAAATCTCATAGGTTGAAAGCAACTTTCTTTCAATGCTCTCTCCAAGAATTTATCTACACAGACAGCTTATTCGGATTCTGAGATAGCGTTAGCAGCCAAGAAATCTGGCATTCACATGTTTTCAAGCCTACTTAAATCAAAATAAAACACATTTAGGCAGTATATAGCCTGGGCAAGAGCCCACATCATGAAACTGGACTTGTTTTTTAAGATATATGAATGCAAAGGGATAGGATGAAGGTTTCAGCTTTTGGCCAGGCCTGAGGAACCACCCCTCTTGTGGTAGCTTTCAGCCACGTGAACATTCCAGTATGGTTCAGGGCAAAGCCAAAGTGGCAGAGCTGATAATGGCTTGCAAGTGTGACAGACAGGAAGCACTCTTCACACCATTTACAGCTGAGAGATGGAGTTCAGCAGATCTCCATCCATGTCTACAGTAATTATATACTGACTTCTAATTGAGGCTCAAAATCCAGGCATTAATATTTAGTTGATAATGCTAGTGCTAAATACACTGGTATCCCTGCTGAGGTGATATTTTTCTTTGTGAACTCCTCAGTTCCAGGGGAACCAGAGATGAAGGATGATAGACAAGGAATACTTACATAGACAGATACTGATATCTCCTGTCATGACAAGCACCAGCCTCAGCTGTAAGGGAGTAAACTGCATTAACCAAAGCTTCTCAAGATCAGTAATCATAATGTTTATATGTGGTACTAGCTTCCATAGAGGGATTCAATCAGTTATTACCTAATAAAAGCCTGCTTGACCCTCACATTGCTTCCATGTTACAGGATTTCAAGCCTGAAAATTCAGCTACATATGCAAGAGGTCATAGAGTTCTCAGAAAGTCTTTATGCCAATGACAAGTCATGCAGGAATTTTCTAAGAAAGCCAGGGGCACAGACATGGAGACAGCTATTTTCTATACCAATAAATTTCTCCAGGGTAGAAAACTAATTTCAGTTGTCAATCCCTTTCTTCTTGCAAAAAATCTCAGACATGTGTCAAATAGCATAGAAACGTTGCACAGTCCACTGCCCTCCATCAGAAGCAAAGCTGAGACTCAACAAGGTCTGTGAGTTGGAACCCCACAGAGGCTTTCAAACCAGAAGACAGAGGCTTTGAAGCTGTCCACATTCCCTCTTACAGGGATGCTAATTTGGCTTGGAATTATCTTAAAAGTTAAAATAACTAGGGGATTGTCATATGTGATAATATGTGATAATACAGGAAAGAGAATCAGATGTTTTCTGCAGAACTGTGTTAAGGAAACTTTCCTGTCTGACCATCCAGGAGCCCCTCTATCAGTCCCCCTTCCCCACTCAGAGACTTCCATTGCTGGGACTGAAGCCCCTTGACAGCTTGTGGCTCCAGGGACCTGACAAGTGCCCCATTTGACCTCCTACACACCCCACACTCACACTTCTCATAATAGAGTACCAGACTTCTGTATCCTTAAAATAGTTTAACCTTAGTGCAACACCAGAATAACAGCTCCAGCCAGTATGTCCCAGAAACAACCCTGAACAAAGGGCTGGCTACCTGTGCTTTTATATTCTCACAGTTTAAGCCCACAAAAGTCAGTGGTCATTGGCTCCTGCTGTGTCTCTGAGCTTGCCCTCACCTGGCTGCCCACAGACCCCTTTGCAAAGGGTCAGCAGCTCATGGCCCCTTGCCTTGGGCTCTCACTGCTCAGAGCTCAGCCTGCAGCTCACACTGCTACCAGCTACCTGCCCTGAATGGATTCCTCAACTGTTAACATGAAAATTCCAGATACCGCTAATGATACACCTTAACATTGCAGGAGTTCCTTCACAGATTTCACAGCAGATGTTCTGAAGCTTTCTAGGGTTTATTTTCTCAAAAAATGAGAGGTAGAGCTAGTACTATTTACTTTACAAGCAAAAAGGATGCCCCAGACCAGAGCATCAGGCAAGTTCCTGGTCACAGCTGACTTCCAGTTGAGAAGTCTGTTTGTGGCTTGGGTCCCCAGACCAGACTTCATCGTGAGGAATAGGCTTTGCTATGGTGGGAGCTGTAACTCAGACAGAGACCAAGTTCAAGAGCTTCTACCTGACATTGGCTCCCATGGGTCAGCCCCTGTAAGCCTTCCCCTGGAGCTGTCAGGGAGCCTCTCCCAGTGTCACCAGCTGCACTGCGCCACGCTGGGCTCTGAGCTCAGACAGACAAACCCCATGATGGGAGAGGATTTGCTCAGGGTCCTTTCAGCACCATTGTTTACAGGCAAACATGCTGCTGTTGTCAAGGATTCAGCACTTCCACTAGATCATTTTATCTACCCGATTTCAGCCCACTGCAAATGTGAAGTAAATTACTTGGAAATTGCAGAAGAGCAGGGGATGTGCAAGGAAGGAATAACAGAAGAGTCAACTGAGGAAAGGTAATTTGTTATGACTTGGTAACTTGGTTGTTTGCAGTTATTGGTAGCTTTCATAAAGATTTTTGACTTCCAGAGGGTTAACCGATTTCTATTGTTTCATTGTCTTCTAATGAGGAAGAATGGACAAATGGGGGAGCACTTAATTTTTTCCAATTTTTCCTAATTTTCTAAGTGTTGTGTAATTCAACTCAGCTACCCAAGACAAAGAAATGTCAACAGATTGCTTTTATTTCATTAAAATCTGCTATTGGAAATAACCTCTGCAGAAGTACATCCTTCTTGGAAAACAATTCAAAATTAGCTGGATGTATTTTATATTTTTCCAGTTCTTCATGCATTGGCTATTACAACTTCATTCTAGTCACTGGATACAAGTTAGTTTAGTGGTCTGATCCAATGTGAAAGCATGTTTCATTTAAAACAGGAGGAAAAAGAGTAGAAGACAAACTAAATGAAATGATTTATTTCAGATGCCCCTAATCCTGGGAAAAAAACAAAAAAACCAAAAAACAAACAATGAAAATATTTAATGAAATAATTTCTCAAAAATGTGCCTCAAACCAGTATTGGATGTGTAGTTTTCAGAATTACAACTTGTAATTTCACTTTTATCCGAAACAAATGTCACAAAATTTCCAACTCCATTATTGCACTGTGCTCTCAGTAATAATGGTATGGTTTAGTCTATGACACATGTTGACCTTTGTAAGTTGCTTACTGCTTTGTTTTTTTCCCTTTTGATTAATTTTAGTAACTATTTTGATAAGTGCTATGTATTAGTAGGTACCATGATCCCAGAAGTCAGAGGTCTCTGATTTTTGCCATTTCTGTCACTTACTTGCTTTGAGATTGAATTCCTCAATGTTTCAATTCCTTCCATTTTTTCTCCTCTAAAATAGGACTGAATTATTTTAAATCTATAGTGATGAAATAATGAATGCTTGCACAGAGATTTGAGAATATAAAGTGCTCTATAAATACCAAGCATTATTTTTACCAGTCTATAATGGAAGAATGCAGTCCTGGAAGGAAACCAACAATGAATTGAAAATGGAGGGATTAAAACTAATGATTTCAGAGGAAAGAGCAAATTTAGCCTGAGACGTGTGTGTCGTATAAACACATTTTTAGAGACCTCACACTACCTTCAAATGTTACCCTGTCACACAAATCCCAACAAAAGTCCAACAATTTTATGCTTCCAAAATAAACAACAAAAAGGTCTCAAAGCATTTGCAGGCCAAAATACATTATAACCTTAATCTGGTCACTGGGAAATGATATGGAGTTCTAAATAAAGCTTTATTTCATTTCATTGTGTGGAAAAATCATAAACCTCTAGATCTACATAAAAGAAGGAAATGATGCTTGTACTTGGATGTCTAGTGGCTGAGGATGTCTTGGGTATTTACCACAGTAAGGCTTGCTGCACTAACATCTCAGTTAACACTGCCTAATACATCACACAATTCCAGGTGCATGGACAGTGGAATAACAGCTCCCTCCCCGGTGTCTTCTGTCACAGGGTGTGTGCACCCTGGTACATGTGTTAGTGTGCACTTGACCTGTGGCATCTGTGATGTTTAACAACACTCTGATTGTGGCCAGGCATTCAGGAGGTTACAGTCTGTTTTGCTGTATGGCTTTATGCATATCTACCTCTTTCTCTGTGTCACTTTCTTCTGACATATCTGTTTTTATTTCTTCCTCAGGTGTGCACTAGAGTGGAGCAGGCAATGCCATTATTGTAAGTATTTTTCTTTTGCTTTTTTCATATAGAAGGTGCTCAATTTCAGTCTACTGTGACCTCCACAATAGTTGAATACCAGAATAGATTGTGTTCCAATCATATTTTGTTTTTATAGCTTTATTTTTATTTGGGTTAGCCTGAGACACAGTTTGAGAACTTAAATACAATAGAGTTGCTGATAGTTAAGAAACAATATTTAGAATTGTGATCCAACTTCTCTACTTATTTGCCACCAAAGTCAGGAACCATAAACTTGTGAGGCACTATCTGAAGTGTTATAAACTTGGAATTCTGTTGCTGTAGAAGTCCAAAACTGATCTAGCTTAAGCAGCTCTGAATAGAGCAGGCCTATATTTATTATTTTCAGTACATAGTGTTGTGGGAGGGAGTTGCTTCCATAATTATCAGGCTCCTGTGCAAATTAAATTTTTGTAATGATTTCTACAGTTTTGAATTACCTACTAGAAGGTTCACTAAAAGACCAGACAGAAGTCTTGGGCTTACAGCCGTGCACTGAACAAATGAAGTATCCTTCCATACACTCTGTGTTATGTACGGGGTGTCCAAGGCAGCAGCAACTGACTTTATTCAGCAGCAGGGAGAGGTAAATATGTGAGTAAAGGCAAACAGCAATGCTCCTCCTAGCTCTGTGCCATAACATATTATTATGCTTAATTTCATCAACCTGTGGGAAGAAAATCCAGTTCTAGAGGTAATCTGGGGAATTAATCTCAGGTCAAAAAAAAAAGTGCACAAGTTCTAAGTCAGAAAGAGAGGACAGCTCAGGAGAGAGCTGTGGAGTACCTTAGCTGGAAGTTTGAAAGCAGGCAAATGACAAAGACTGATGGCATCGTGTGAGTAGCAATCATGGAGTGCTGGTTTAGTGGATTAATATACCTGAAACCTTGCTTCTCTTGCTCATCATTTACTCAGATGTTCTTTGAGGAGTGGATACATGAATGCTGAGAGGGAAAGCATTTACACATGAAAGATTTATAGTAGAAACCTAATTCTATGGAGGAAGGTTATGATTTATATTTCGCAGTCCTTAAAACCTTCCAAAGAATAGGATTTGACACACATTGGAGTATTTCTTTCTGACTAATCTGGAATTGTTTCCATGATGCCCTCATTTGGCTGTATTTTATCATGATGCATCTGTACACAGCCTAAGTGAGCATAGAGACTTTTGCAGTAAAAACAATAACAGCATGAGAGAAAAAGAGATTTGTAACAACTTGTGATGTCCACAGTATAAGCAATGTAGAGGAGGGTTTTATTTTAAAAAAACCCAATGTATTCTTTTTAGTCTTACAGCATACTGTTATAATATAGAGAGCAGAAATACCAAACTAAGTGAGAACTGGTTGGAAATTTTCAGAGAATACTGAAAAGTTTTCACTTCACATTGAACAATTAAGTTTCCTCTGAAACAAAGTCTTGAACCACAATTCCTGGTACTGTAATCACTGGGATATATAGGCAATTTTGCACCCTTCTTTTCTTACTCTCTTGGGTTCAGTTAATTAATATTCATGTAAAACATAGCTACTCTAGCAAAGAGGATTGAAAAAAACTATTGAATAATAACAAATGTGTTTGAAGGTAATCTATTCAGCTTCTTTGTGTGGAAATGAGGATCAAATCCTGTTCAACACGTGGCAAAAGAGAGCTAGAATTTGCTAAGTTGTACAATCACTGAAAGCAATTCTGCAGCATGACTTTCTTAGTTAAGACTTTTTTTTTTCCCTAGGAAAACTAGGCTGTAATAAATAGTATAGTAAATCCATTTTTTAACCTTCTTAGTACCAGATTAAAGTGAACCTGAATAATGTGTCATCTGGCCATAGCAATATCAGCATAAAATCCCTTCATCCTGTCTAATTCGAAAGCAATATACTTGTCAACCTACACCTGATCCAGGCACATCATATTTTCCCAGGTGAGTGGTGTATCAAAACACAGGTTGAATATTTAGTTATCACAGATATAGAAGATACCTTGAAATTTTGAAATCCCAGAAATGCCTATGGAATGGTAAAAGGACAAGCCATCCATCTAGCACATCTCAGAATGTGCTGAAATACTGAGACCCTCAAGACAACTGAAGATCGTCCTTACTTTGCCAGTTATCTGTAGGGTGCCAACAGGATAAGTCACAATTCATTCTGTTTTCTTTCCACAATCTAGTCCTTTCTGTTCCCCATGATAAAGTACTAATGATACAGGATTCTTTTTAGAAGAGATTGGTTTGAAATTGGTTTGTTACTTACATTGTACCAACAGTCTTGGTGAGCATGCTACCATCAATAATGTCTGAATGTTTGAAGGTTGTCTCAAGGTTTAACATTTTTAACATACATCTTATTGTAATCAATTTTGTCTGTCAATGAGCACTGGATGAAATATCTATGTTCTTGAAAGTATTATCTCAGCAACGGGTACTGCTTGCCAAAGATAATTTGAGCATCATCAATGGACATATATTATATATATATAATGGACAGCAGAGCTGCATCTACAACAGTATAGTTTTGAATATATAATATAAAATAGAGTAAAGCTAAGGAGGCCTATAATGCCCAGAAGTAATTTGTTTCATCTCTCAGCTGTCTTCATAAAATATGTCTTAAATATCCTGAAATAAGAAATTTTTGCTGCAGCAAACAGGTCAAAATCCAGTACACCAATTTATCCATGCAAAGTAAAATTAAGTTTTTATTTACTAAGTGGGACATTGTCAAGTCTCATCCTGAATTGTCATCTTTATCAGATCTGTAGACACCGTAAGAAAAAGCTGCAAACTAAACTGAAGGAAGACTTTTGCACACAGTCTCACTCTGTTTGTTCCAGGAAGTGAGAAGCCTTAAAAGAACTGTTGAATCAGTGAAGAATGAAAAAAAAAGTCATTAAAGATCAAATATGTTCCTTATTAAGAACCCAAGCTAGCTACTGCTGCTCTGGAATTTAGTGTTCCTGAGAGTGACAGCTGCAGTACCACCTAAAGAAACAAAATTGCACTTTTTGTGCAGCTAAATAATTTCAAAGAAAGAAAATTAGTTCCTCCACTAATCTCCTACCCCAGAAACACTTCTGAAATGTTATATATGATGTCAGTAATCTCCTAAACCAGCAGGAATTCAATGTCTGAATATCTGTAACCTTTAGCTTTGAATCTTTTAATTATGCTTTTACCTCTAGCTATTTATCAGATTTACAAATTCCCCACTGTAGACTAAGACTCCTGGAGGTTTGCTAGGCCACTTAGAGTGAAGTACATTTTGTTACTGAGTTCTGTCTTGGTTTATTTCACAGGCCTATCCCACACTAAGTCTTCCTGCTGGCCTAGCAATTCTAGCAATAAGCAAAGGGGTACCTCCAAGCTTTAGACGGAATGAATCATATTGTACTTTCTATATCAAAAGCCCCAAAACTTTACAACACTAAAGGAACATTGAGGCCAGAAAGATGATGGCATTTCTCTCAAGTTTGTTGAATGTCAAGCCTTGTATCAGACCAAGGACAGTTTTCTGACTCTTCTCCTGATGGAATAGTAGGGGGGAGGGAAGGAAAGACGCTAGATGTGGCACTTCTTAGCTCAGAATGTGTAGTTTTCTCTGTGCAGTGATGTCTTGACATAAACCACAGCATGCAGATGATTACTGGCATATATTTTACTGTGTGTAACTCTCCAGTGCTAATGCTCCACTCATGACAGCATGGCTCACAGGAGCAGCCCTTCTTTTGGTTCTTAACACCCTCTGGTAGCTCTCCACAGCTGTCTGTGTGAAGGGGAAAGCAGAACTTTTCTGCTTTTCTGCTATTCTCGCTCCCTGCTCTTGTTCCAGAATAAGAGTGGTACCCCTGCTTGTATCTTCACTCCCCCAGATGCTGCCCCAACAATGGCAATGTTCATCTGTGTCTTTGCCCCACTCATTTTTACATCCCTACTATATATTTCTTCTACCTGTGAATGTATGAATGTGGGAAGGTGTTTTTTTGCTTCATCCATCCCTGCTGTCCTACACTTATGGTCTTGCAGCTCCTCCTCTATCTATGTAATGATAGAAGGCATGAAAATTGAGGAGCCACTGCTTTCCTCTCCATGTCAAGGAAAGAGATGCTCACATTAACTCTGCTGATTAATTTTGTGCCAAATTTGTGGTCTTTAATTTTTCCATATTCCAATGGTGACAAATTGATGATCTCCAAGATAGAGAGCTCTGTACAGTTCTCTTGCCCTCCTGCATCCAAATGCATGGTGTAATTTGGATGACCCTTTTCATTTTCACTATTAATTTCTACTGTTTGGAAGCTCACTTCAGCTACCTGGAAAATAGCATGATTGAGCTGGATAGGAAATAGGAATGGAAGTGAGTTGGAGGTGATAAAGATCAAGGTTTATGTGCTGTTGACTTGACCTGGTACAAAGAACAAGACTGTCGCCAACACTGAGCCCTGGGGAGCCCCTCCTGTGACACCACCAGCTGGATGTAACTCCATTCACCACCACTCTCTGGACCTGACCTTCCAGACAGTTTTTGACCTAGTGAAGAGTGAACCTGTCCAAGCCATGGGCTGCCAGCTTCTCCAGGAGTAGACACCTGTGGCAGACAGTGTCAAAGGCTTTGCTGAAGTGCTGGTGGAAACATCCACAGCCTTTCCTTCATCCACTAGGCGGGTTACATGGTCATAAAAAGAAATCAGTTTGGTTAAGCACCTGACTTTATAAAACCCACACTGTCTGGGCTTGATCCCCTGATTCTCCTGTATGTCCACATGATCACACTCAGGATAATGTGTTCCATAACATTCTCCAGCACCAAGGGCATGCTCTCAAGACTGTAACTTTCCACATTCTCCTTCCAACTCTTCCTGTAGATGTTCATCACACTGGCTAACCTTCAGATATCTGGGACTTCTCTGGTTAACCAGGACTGATGAGAAATCATAGAGTCATGGAATACAGTGAATTGGAAGTGACCCTTAAGGATCAGTGAGTCCAACTCCTGGCCCTGCACAGGATATCACAAGAATCACACCGTGTGCCCAAGAGAATTGTCCAAACACTACTCAAACTCTTTCAGGCTTGCTGCTGTGACTGCTTCATTGGGAAGCCTGTTTCTGTGCTCAGCCTCCGTCTGGATAAAAAGCTTTTTCCTGATGTCCAACCAAAACCTCCTCCAGCTCAGCATCACACTGTTTGCCCAAGTTCTGTCACTGGCCACGAGAATGATGAGATCAGTACCTGCCTGTCTGCTTCCCCTTGTGAGGATGGAGAGTGGCTTGGTGAGCTCGTCCACCAGCATCTTCAGTACCACTGAATCTTCATTCACCACTGGATAGGTGAATCCTATCCAGATCCATAAACTTACAAGTGTCTAAGGAGAAGGGTAGCTGCTGTAGTGAGGAAAGCTAGAAAGATGAAGAAATTTTTCCAAGAAATAGTATAGTCTCTGACTTTGGAGAAGTTTAAGATTTCAATGGACAGGGCTTTGATTTTCTAGATCTCTTATGGG